ACCAAATTAGTTGGGGTAAATTTTGCCTCATCATAAAGGAGGAATTGGTTTTTGTCACTTGAGGACATTTGATCGAGCACTTCTTCATCAAGTTTTCAAGTCTAAATGTTTTCCTCGTTGCAGATTTCTTTCTTGCAGAATCAGGCTCGAAGTCTTGAATGCTCCCAATTAAGGAAAATTGTTAAGTCCCTAAACTTATAAATACCTTCCAATTAGAAAAAATTGTTTAACAAAATCTTGAATGTCCGTCGTGGGTCGAAAGTCTACCAGTGTCCCATTTTATAAGGGTTTAGGGATTTAAAGTGTCCCATTTATAAGTTTTTAGCGGACTTAAGTGCTCCCAATTATAAGTTTTAGCTGACTTAAGTGCTCCATTTGAATTTTAGGACTAAACAGTTGAGTAATCATCCAAAGTTTTGGGGCGAGACAAAGTGGCAATATAAACCCAATTTTGGCTCAAGAAAGTTCAACACGTCTTCGGTACGGTCATAGGAGGTTTGGGTCTATTCATTGACGGATGTAGTTTATCTATAATCATATCTTATGACCAACAAACTTAAAACTCAATGAAAGTAAGCAAGGAATTTGTCAAACCCCAATTTGATGAAGAAAATCGTAAATTTTATGAGTGATTTTTTTCAATTTTTTTTAAATACGCGCAATATGTAATTTTAAAATAATCACATTTGACAACATTAAAATGTGGTAGATTTCTTATAGAGAGTAAGAGCTCTGTCGAGATTGAAATATTCAGCATGCTATACTTTTTCAAACAGATTAAATCAACATCTCATTATACAAAAATCAACTCTTGGCTTGCTCTCTTGTAATATGTTGATTGCTTTCCCATGTGGAAAATTTCTGCCCTCGTATGTTTCTCCATTCTTAATGACATATCCTCATGAAGAGACACGTGGTTCTGTGTAGTTGTGTTATGTACTCTTATTATATTTTTGTTTTTTTTTTTGTAACAGAGGAGGAGTAAGATTTAAGAAGCGAAGAGGATGAATGAAGGGATTTAAACTCTAAATTTCTAAAATATTATCATATACAGTGCTGATATTTTGATATTTGCTCATCTAAATAACTAAGTAATACGATATTCAAGAGATTTCTTGAAATTGAACTCATATATGCATAGAAATTTCGAATTTGTTGATGTGGGATATTTTTCTTCTTTTATATGAACATGGAACCATCTTAACTTGATGGAGTCATTTTTATATGTAATTTAATAGGTTCATAATGGTATTTCATTCTTTTTTACTTAACTTTACTACCCTATTTTCTTCTTGATTTCTTATATTTTCCCTTTCTTGTCAATCTTTTCTTTGTGCTAAAGAAGGATAGGATTTGGTTTCTAACTTTGTACGAAAATGAGCTATGAAAATTAGCTTTTGTCTTTGTAAATCATAGTTTGCTATAGTTAAAAGTAGCCAACTTTATTGTGTTTTTTTTTTTCTTTCTTATTATTAGAAAGTTACCATGAAGCTTCCTTTTTCTCCCTTGACAAAAGATGGAAAAAATGCTTATCGTAGTTTCCTAGTTAATCCTTCAACAAAAATATATTTTTCACATTTAGTTTAACTTAAAATGTTTAGGTAAAGCTCATTTTGGACGTTAAATTGATAGATATTTATTGAATATCCAAAGGAATATTCTCCAAAAAAAAGAATATTCAAAGGATATTTTACGATTAAGATGTCATAAAACAAATCTACAGTACCTTCAAAATTGATAAAACCAACTTTTTACAAAGATAATAATTGTTTACCAACTTTATAAAAAGTTTCATCCAAAAGTTATCTTTTTTTCCCCATGTTTTTACCCCAAAAAGGAAAAAATATATTAATTACAATTGCAAAACCCAAAAAGGAAAGGAGAAGGAAATTGCGATGATGACTCTGAAATTAAACAAGTGACGAAAAATGGAAAAAAGAAAGAAAACGTGGAAAGCAAATAGGATATTCCCTAGGACCAAAAGCACAAAGGGCATTAAAGGAATCTAGAACAACTCCACAGTTTATTTTATTTTTGTGGCAAGCACTTTCCTTGTAAATATGATTTAGTCATTTAATAACATTATCCAGTCACCAACTTTCATCTCAACCATTCCAAAAAATCATTATTATAATAATACCACATTACATCATATCACCATATTTAAATGCAACATTCAATTCGATCTTATCATTAATAGCAGCTATCTAGCAACAAAATCAAAATCCCAGGTGAAACCATTAGGTCATATACATACATACATACATATATACATACACATATATATATATATATATTTTATTCTATTTGAAAATTTTAATTTTATTCTATCTATGAGTTATGAAATTACTCTTTAATAAGAGTTAAATCATTGTTTTAATATTGAGAAGAATTATTTATGGCGTTTTAAGCAGAATATCAGGGTACTTTTCAATGAAATAAAAAAGATTTCTACGTACACCTTCTTTTTTTTATTTATATTTAGAAAATAAATGTTTTTATTCTTTAGTAGACTAAATAAATCCACAAGCTAATCTCAAGATTTTTAAGAAAATACACCTAATGAATTAGCGTGTAATAACTTTTAAACTGATCAATCAACATAATCCAACGGTTAAGGTGCTTTGTAGCATGCCTTGTATTTTGCACTTGCTCCCTTATATGCACATTTTTGAAGCTTGAACTCCACCATACTCTATAAAAGTAAAACAGCCACCATTTATTTCAGGGTTAAATGCATATAACACACTTTAACTTTTATTCAAGTTGCATTTTGTCCCTTCCTACTAATTGAATAAGGACTTGTGAAAAGTATTTTTCAATAATTCATGAAATCTCTTGTCTTTCTTTGAGACTTCTTTTTGAAAAAAAAAACTCATATTTTTTTAAATCAATTTTTCTTCATCAATTATGCAATTGCTCAAACCGATAGTAGTAGTTATTGCTCTTGTTTAGCACGTTAAATAAGTAGAAAATCTCACATAAGTAACATTTGATAATCTCTCACTTTTCACATTTCTCTTTTTGTTTCTTTCTTCTAAAGAACATCGCTAGATTTTATCGAGCAGATCTAAGACTTGTGGTTGTGGATGGTAATAATAGCGGTGCGTAAATCACTATATAATTCAACAGAGGCTATTAGAGTATAAAAAATGTTGCTTATTTTTCAAATTCTTGGTTTTATTTTTTAAGCTAGTTGCCAGCAATAATTAGGGAATTTTGTTTTTCATTTTTATGCTGCTTTGTGTACAAAAGAATTAGTTTAGATATTCTATTTTTTGTTATCAAACGCGTCTGAAACATGATAAGATTTGAATTCATTAAATTTAAGTGTTGAATTGGATTATCAAATATTTAAGTACAACAATGAATAAGTTTGAAAGCTTGTTGACTTTAGGTCAAAGAACAAATTACCTATTCATAAAATTTTTTGAGGGGTAAAGTCTAACTTTTATAAGTTTTGGGGATCTAGTAGATGCGATGAATTCATCATTAGATACAATCAACTAAATTAAAACCTCCTCCTTATCCACTCCACCTTTCCCTAAATTAATTTTTAACTATATTTAATTAATCAGTTTATATTTAATGCTTAATGGGAACTCCTAAACAGTTGTTCAAGTGTTAGTATTTTTTTTTTAAAACAAAAGATGAATAGTTAAGCAGTATAAGTGTCGCAATTTGAGAGTGCAATAAACTCAAATATGCATATTTATACATCAATTTAGATGTGATTTACGTGTCAAGAGTATCTATTGGATAACAGTTGGAAAAATCCTCAATTAATATATTATATAATATCATCCCTCTTTCTTCTCAGTCATTTTTTCCCTGACTTTACCTTTTCATCTAATGACCTGATTTTCTCTCTCTTCAATTTATTAAATTGAATTTATGTAAACCATAATTAGAAAAAATATATACTCTAATTCTCCTATGTGAGAGCGCAAGAGAGAGAAATTAAATCAAATTAACAAATTAACACAGATAATACAAACAAAAACTAAGCAAGACAAACCTTTAAAAAAAAAAAGAAAAACAAAACAAAACAACGGCACGTCTCTTTGCTGGTAATACTTCACTTCCTAATTTATTTTTTCTTTTTCATTTTCTTTCTCTTTCAAGTTTCAAAGAGTTGTCTTTATCTGCTTCTATGGGTGCATTGCATATATACATAGAGGTGTCTGTTTCCCTTTCATTCTCTGCTGAGCAGGGGTCTCAATGACTATAAATCTATAACTATGACATGATAATTCAAGTTGATGAAAGGGTTAGGATTATATATTTTAATTTGTTGAAGGGTTACAACTTATCAGTTAATAATTGGAGGGATAAAAGTTGAATTTTGTAATAGTTTGAAAGTCATTGGCGTTTTTTGTCTATCTCATGAATCCTATATCTCCGTTAGACATAAGGATGAGTCGAGTTCAAGTTGAAACTCAAGTTTAAAAATACTTAGATAGTTAACTTGCGAGTTGATTCGATTATATATATATATATATATATCTAATATTTTATTATTTTTAAGAAAAATTACTATTTTATTCATTTTTTATAAGGGCAAATTATCCAATTGACCCTTTAACTCTTTGTCTAAGTAAAATTAAGCCCCTCATCTATTTTTTGCTGACTTTAAGCCCTCGAACTTGTAAAATGGGGAACCCGTGGCCCTTTCAGCCAGTTTCTCCGGTTTTGCAACTGGAGAACCAATTCACACGAATGCCAGTGTGATTCTTTCAAGGGTATTTTTGTCCTCATATTCTAAGCAAAAAGGGCACACATAATCCACCTTCCCTCCACTGGCTTAGAAATCAACGGGGAATACAGTGGCCAAAATTTCCCCAAATGCCCGCCTAGACTCGTAAACGGACTTCCCAAAAACTACTGAATTGGGTAAAGAAAAATAAATATTCTCAAAGATGCAAGACTTAGGCTTCAGATGAGAAATCAGACAAAAGGATCCAACCCCATCTTTATCCACAACCAATACCTCTCTTTCAATGGCGATCTCTTCAGCCCCTCGCCACCACTTCCTCCTCCTGGCCACCTGCACCTTGCTTCTGGTAACATTCTCCAAGCCTACACTCTCCGCTCAGCGTTGCCCGGACTGCGGCGCCACGCCGGTTCCCTACCCACTAAGCATCAGGCCCACCTGCGGCGACCAACTCTACAAGCTCCGCTGCAGCGCCGGCTCACTTTTATTCGACACCTTAAACAACACCTACCCGGTCACCTCCGTTTCCCCTCAACTCCAGCGTCTCACCATTCAACCCTCCCCCTTCCTTGCCTTTCAACATCACCAACAGCAACACCATCTTGTACCTCAATTGTACCCAGACTCTGTTGATCTCTCCTTTGAATTGTACCTCAAGCAGTCTCTGTCATACGTTTATCAACGGGACCAGGAGTGTCAGCGATGGCGGCGCTTGTGAGAATTCGGAGATATGCTGCACGTTCAGGGCGGGCGGGTCGGCGACTTCTTATTCCATTCGGGTGAGGGATGCGGGTTGCCGGGCGTACCGGGCTTTTGTCAACTTGGATTACTCGTTGCCCGTGAGTAGGTGGCCGCAGCCTGGCCTGGAGTTGCAGTGGGTTTCGCCTAGTGAACCCATTTGCCGGAAACAAACGGATTGTGACTCGGAATCCACCTGTGGACTCGACCCAAATTCGAACAGTGGGGTCCGGAGGTGCTTCTGTAACTCCGGCTTGCACTGGGATGCGATCGCTGGATCATGTTCCAAGGGTAAGAAAGACTTCTTGGAAGCGGCCGAGACACCGGCCCAGTGGACTTTGCGGGTGTGGTGACGGGGTGGCAGGGTTTTAGGAGGGTTTTTGAGAAGGAAGAGCAGAAGGGCTTGTCATGAGGAGGGGTTGTAAGCAGAGAGAGCTTCTGGGAGGCCGCGGCGGCCGCGGCTACTGCGGTGGCGATAGAGACGGCCATGGGATTGCGTGGGAGTTGCGCAGGGAAGAGTAAGGGGAGTGAGGGAAATCAAATAGAAAGGTGGACTATGTGCGCCCTTTTTGCTTAGAATGTGAGGACAAAAATACCCTTGAAAGAAGCACACTTGCGTTCGTGTGAATTGGTCATCCGGTTGCAAAACCGGAGAAACTGGCTGAAAGGGCCACGGGTTCCCCATTTTACAAGTTCGAGGGCTTAAAGTCAGCAAAAAATAGATGAGGGGCTTAATTTTACTTAGACAAAGAGTTAAAGGGCCAATTGGATAATTTGCCCTTTTTATAAAATAAAATAATTTTTTAAAATTTTTTTAAACTCGAGTTCAAACTTTACATTTAGAACTCGTCGAGTTCGAGCGAACTTAATGGAATTAAGTCGAAATTCGGAATAATTAGGTCAAAATTTAACTGGACTCTTTGGTTCGCAACCCAAGAAAAACATGAGTATTATAGTAAAATTTCTAGGTTCAATTTGGTGTGCAGGTTCCCATGTCTCTCACCTTTTGTTTGCGGATGAAACTTACAGCGTTTGCGAAAGCAACGGTTGAAGAAGCGCCTCATTAACACGATAATAAGCATGTATGGTGCTGCTTCATAACAAGGGATTAATGTGGACAAGTCCGCCACAATCTTAAGTGGGTCAGATGCGGATGTTTGGGATGGTTTCTCAATTTTTGGGGATTAAGGAAGTTGCATCTCACCTACAAATATCTTGGGCTCCTTGTAAGTTGTTGGACATTCAAAACAGAAGTATTCTCTTCAATTAAGGATCAAGTTCTAAAGTCAGCAAAAGATATCTTGCTAAAATTAGTATACAAGCCATCCCAAGTCATTCCGTCTCTCGTGTTGAATACATGTTCGAACTTTTCATCACTAACTAATATTCGGCCAGTGACGAATTGAGTGCCTTTTGGTGGGATGCAGCGTTTCAAGAATTGAACCAGATTAGTCAAATCACAAATCGGCTATGATATCGATCCAATTCACTAGTCAACTTAGAAAATCAATTGAATCAATCAAATCTGATCAATCGTCGGTTGAATTGGTTAAAATCAATAAAAATTGACTTTTAAACTAATTCATGCTAAACTTTTTTTTTTTTAAAAAAATTAAACTCTTTAAATTTACATAATAAATAAAAGAATAAAAAAATTTGAACTAAGTTAAACCAATTGAACCGATTTGAACTGCGAATAAAAAACTCATCAAGTCCACTTAAAAGTCCAGGCAAAGAAACCAATACACCAAATTAGTTGGGGTAAATTTTGCCTCATCATAAAGGAGGAATTGGTTTTTGTCACTTGAGGACATTTGATCGAGCACTTCTTCATCAAGTTTTCAAGTCTAAATGTTTTCCTCGTTGCAGATTTCTTTCTTGCAGAATCAGGCTCGAAGTCTTGAATGCTCCCAATTAAGGAAAATTGTTAAGTCCCTAAACTTATAAATACCTTCCAATTAGAAAAAATTGTTTAACAAAATCTTGAATGTCCGTCGTGGGTCGAAAGTCTACCAGTGTCCCATTTTATAAGGGTTTAGGGATTTAAAGTGTCCCATTTATAAGTTTTTAGCGGACTTAAGTGCTCCCAATTATAAGTTTTAGCTGACTTAAGTGCTCCATTTGAATTTTAGGACTAAACAGTTGAGTAATCATCCAAAGTTTTGGGGCGAGACAAAGTGGCAATATAAACCCAATTTTGGCTCAAGAAAGTTCAACACGTCTTCGGTACGGTCATAGGAGGTTTGGGTCTATTCATTGACGGATGTAGTTTATCTATAATCATATCTTATGACCAACAAACTTAAAACTCAATGAAAGTAAGCAAGGAATTTGTCAAACCCCAATTTGATGAAGAAAATCGTAAATTTTATGAGTGATTTTTTTCAATTTTTTTTAAATACGCGCAATATGTAATTTTAAAATAATCACATTTGACAACATTAAAATGTGGTAGATTTCTTATAGAGAGTAAGAGCTCTGTCGAGATTGAAATATTCAGCATGCTATACTTTTTCAAACAGATTAAATCAACATCTCATTATACAAAAATCAACTCTTGGCTTGCTCTCTTGTAATATGTTGATTGCTTTCCCATGTGGAAAATTTCTGCCCTCGTATGTTTCTCCATTCTTAATGACATATCCTCATGAAGAGACACGTGGTTCTGTGTAGTTGTGTTATGTACTCTTATTATATTTTTGTTTTTTTTTTTGTAACAGAGGAGGAGTAAGATTTAAGAAGCGAAGAGGATGAATGAAGGGATTTAAACTCTAAATTTCTAAAATATTATCATATACAGTGCTGATATTTTGATATTTGCTCATCTAAATAACTAAGTAATACGATATTCAAGAGATTTCTTGAAATTGAACTCATATATGCATAGAAATTTCGAATTTGTTGATGTGGGATATTTTTCTTCTTTTATATGAACATGGAACCATCTTAACTTGATGGAGTCATTTTTATATGTAATTTAATAGGTTCATAATGGTATTTCATTCTTTTTTACTTAACTTTACTACCCTATTTTCTTCTTGATTTCTTATATTTTCCCTTTCTTGTCAATCTTTTCTTTGTGCTAAAGAAGGATAGGATTTGGTTTCTAACTTTGTACGAAAATGAGCTATGAAAATTAGCTTTTGTCTTTGTAAATCATAGTTTGCTATAGTTAAAAGTAGCCAACTTTATTGTGTTTTTTTTTTTCTTTCTTATTATTAGAAAGTTACCATGAAGCTTCCTTTTTCTCCCTTGACAAAAGATGGAAAAAATGCTTATCGTAGTTTCCTAGTTAATCCTTCAACAAAAATATATTTTTCACATTTAGTTTAACTTAAAATGTTTAGGTAAAGCTCATTTTGGACGTTAAATTGATAGATATTTATTGAATATCCAAAGGAATATTCTCCAAAAAAAAGAATATTCAAAGGATATTTTACGATTAAGATGTCATAAAACAAATCTACAGTACCTTCAAAATTGATAAAACCAACTTTTTACAAAGATAATAATTGTTTACCAACTTTATAAAAAGTTTCATCCAAAAGTTATCTTTTTTTCCCCATGTTTTTACCCCAAAAAGGAAAAAATATATTAATTACAATTGCAAAACCCAAAAAGGAAAGGAGAAGGAAATTGCGATGATGACTCTGAAATTAAACAAGTGACGAAAAATGGAAAAAAGAAAGAAAACGTGGAAAGCAAATAGGATATTCCCTAGGACCAAAAGCACAAAGGGCATTAAAGGAATCTAGAACAACTCCACAGTTTATTTTATTTTTGTGGCAAGCACTTTCCTTGTAAATATGATTTAGTCATTTAATAACATTATCCAGTCACCAACTTTCATCTCAACCATTCCAAAAAATCATTATTATAATAATACCACATTACATCATATCACCATATTTAAATGCAACATTCAATTCGATCTTATCATTAATAGCAGCTATCTAGCAACAAAATCAAAATCCCAGGTGAAACCATTAGGTCATATACATACATACATACATATATACATACACATATATATATATATATATTTTATTCTATTTGAAAATTTTAATTTTATTCTATCTATGAGTTATGAAATTACTCTTTAATAAGAGTTAAATCATTGTTTTAATATTGAGAAGAATTATTTATGGCGTTTTAAGCAGAATATCAGGGTACTTTTCAATGAAATAAAAAAGATTTCTACGTACACCTTCTTTTTTTTATTTATATTTAGAAAATAAATGTTTTTATTCTTTAGTAGACTAAATAAATCCACAAGCTAATCTCAAGATTTTTAAGAAAATACACCTAATGAATTAGCGTGTAATAACTTTTAAACTGATCAATCAACATAATCCAACGGTTAAGGTGCTTTGTAGCATGCCTTGTATTTTGCACTTGCTCCCTTATATGCACATTTTTGAAGCTTGAACTCCACCATACTCTATAAAAGTAAAACAGCCACCATTTATTTCAGGGTTAAATGCATATAACACACTTTAACTTTTATTCAAGTTGCATTTTGTCCCTTCCTACTAATTGAATAAGGACTTGTGAAAAGTATTTTTCAATAATTCATGAAATCTCTTGTCTTTCTTTGAGACTTCTTTTTGAAAAAAAAAACTCATATTTTTTTAAATCAATTTTTCTTCATCAATTATGCAATTGCTCAAACCGATAGTAGTAGTTATTGCTCTTGTTTAGCACGTTAAATAAGTAGAAAATCTCACATAAGTAACATTTGATAATCTCTCACTTTTCACATTTCTCTTTTTGTTTCTTTCTTCTAAAGAACATCGCTAGATTTTATCGAGCAGATCTAAGACTTGTGGTTGTGGATGGTAATAATAGCGGTGCGTAAATCACTATATAATTCAACAGAGGCTATTAGAGTATAAAAAATGTTGCTTATTTTTCAAATTCTTGGTTTTATTTTTTAAGCTAGTTGCCAGCAATAATTAGGGAATTTTGTTTTTCATTTTTATGCTGCTTTGTGTACAAAAGAATTAGTTTAGATATTCTATTTTTTGTTATCAAACGCGTCTGAAACATGATAAGATTTGAATTCATTAAATTTAAGTGTTGAATTGGATTATCAAATATTTAAGTACAACAATGAATAAGTTTGAAAGCTTGTTGACTTTAGGTCAAAGAACAAATTACCTATTCATAAAATTTTTTGAGGGGTAAAGTCTAACTTTTATAAGTTTTGGGGATCTAGTAGATGCGATGAATTCATCATTAGATACAATCAACTAAATTAAAACCTCCTCCTTATCCACTCCACCTTTCCCTAAATTAATTTTTAACTATATTTAATTAATCAGTTTATATTTAATGCTTAATGGGAACTCCTAAACAGTTGTTCAAGTGTTAGTATTTTTTTTTTAAAACAAAAGATGAATAGTTAAGCAGTATAAGTGTCGCAATTTGAGAGTGCAATAAACTCAAATATGCATATTTATACATCAATTTAGATGTGATTTACGTGTCAAGAGTATCTATTGGATAACAGTTGGAAAAATCCTCAATTAATATATTATATAATATCATCCCTCTTTCTTCTCAGTCATTTTTTCCCTGACTTTACCTTTTCATCTAATGACCTGATTTTCTCTCTCTTCAATTTATTAAATTGAATTTATGTAAACCATAATTAGAAAAAATATATACTCTAATTCTCCTATGTGAGAGCGCAAGAGAGAGAAATTAAATCAAATTAACAAATTAACACAGATAATACAAACAAAAACTAAGCAAGACAAACCTTTAAAAAAAAAAAGAAAAACAAAACAAAACAACGGCACGTCTCTTTGCTGGTAATACTTCACTTCCTAATTTATTTTTTCTTTTTCATTTTCTTTCTCTTTCAAGTTTCAAAGAGTTGTCTTTATCTGCTTCTATGGGTGCATTGCATATATACATAGAGGTGTCTGTTTCCCTTTCATTCTCTGCTGAGCAGGGGTTGTAACTGAAACCTTATTTTCGTATATTTCTTGCCCAAAATCTGGAGTGAGTTTGCCTTGCTTTCTTGAAATTCTGCTTCAGGTATTCTTTGTGCTTGTAGTCT